CAACCACAGACCTGATTTCCAGCTATTTTCCAAAATCCTATGGAGAAATTGCATTGCCTATTTGTCGAAGGAACTGGAAGGAGTTTACTTCCGGGTTTTAGGATGCGTCACTGCGGTTCTCTATAGGGAAATGTCCCAGACGTTTAGGAGAATGAAGGTTCTAATCTATTACATAACCATTACATTTCTAACTCCTAATGACAGGAAGGCAGAAAGTGTATTATAACAATAATAATACTCATAGCAGAAATGTCACCATCCTTTTTTTCTTTAACAATGACCACAATATCATAATTTTAATAAGCCAAATATGAACAATTGAGGAAAATGAGGAATAATTGATGATTCAAATGCTGTAGTACAAGTAGTAATGTAGTTTGTGCATAAATGACTATTGCAACAAATTTGTTCATTTTCTTCATTATTAGAGTCGATTTTTTTGGACGAATGCTCTTGGGCCAGTGGTTACAATGGTGGGGCCAGTGATAATGAAAGTCTACTGGCCCGGAGGGCATTGAGCATGTGCAGTACTGTGGGACTGTAGCCCAACAATGCTTTTCTGTACGGGTTGACATACACACAAATGCAGAGGCCTGGCAAACAAGTGAGTGAGTGTGATTCAGCTCAAAGGCTCTACAAAATGTATGGAACTTAAATAGAAGTTCTGAGGCCTCAAAGCTGAAAAGAGAGGCAACAAAGGTTAGTGTTCGCCATCATTGGTCAGGGATGAACACATGAGATGATAGAAACAAAACAAGTAACTCTGAGAACAAAAGGTTGGCCATAGAAAGACTGTGACAACAGTTCGGCACATATTGCTTATTTTCTAAATAAAAGGTCAGTCATTTGCACACAGGCACTAAGCTAATGGCCTTCTGCTCTCAGCTTTGAGCCACCTCTCTCTCTCTCTTAGTGTTTTTCTCAATCATGAACCATGTGACCTCCCTCTTGTCATTGTGTCTTCCCACTCACTCATCCATACACTTCAGGGAAAGTAATGAGCAGCCGTTCCCACTGAAATGAGCTAGATTTGTGCTACGCAGGCTGCCCCACTTTACAGCAGGCTCCTGTGACCTGTCACTCTCTCCATAAGACGCTGCTGTGTGCGCTCCCCCTCCACATGCTTTAAAACACTGCATGCATGTGCCTGGGTGTGTGTCGCAGCAATAAAAACGACTACGTTGTGTCTTAGTGTTAGTAACTCTCTCATGTTTGAGGCAGTTATTCAAAAGTACTTACATGAAACCCTGGCATCATTACTTGCTAACATTACTGAGGGCTAAATTCATCACATCAATGCATCAGTCATATATGTGCTGGGACTGTGGATCATCGGGGTGATGACGACACTGCACTTACTCTGCTAACATGGTCTTATTTAATATAAATTGTATTTCAGGCTGAGTTTAAACATCAACAATGCTCAGTTATTCATCATAGTCGTTGTATTTATATGTCAATATTTAACTTTCAATAGTGAAATGAACAGTTGCATTAAGGTAATGTAAGGTTAAATGATAAGGCTTGGAGTTATTGATCAAACACCAGAGAGCCTAAGAAGATAGATTAGATCAGATTAATAGGAGAGGACCCTCATGCCATCTTTGTTCAGTCATCAGGCAAACATCAAGCACCTACAACGTGTAATTACAAGGTTCAGATCCAAACCTATTCAATCGAGGCAAAGGTTACATCTAGGGCTGTGCAATTAATCGTATTTTAATCGCGATTACGATTATGGCTTGCGACGATTATGAAAACGGCATAATTGACAAAATACGATTATTTTGCTGGGTGCACTTTCGCCCCACCCTAAAAGCCCACTCGGCCACGTGAGAGTGACATGTGTTGTGAGTGTTCAGCGCGAGCGAAGATGTCAGAACAAGAGCAACTCGTTAAAAAGAAGGGTACAACTATTTCCACTATTTGCAAGTACTTTGGCTTTCAGGAGTCCGACGTGGAGCAAAATAAAGTACAGTGCAGGATTTGTTACCAGGTTGTGTTGGCACCACACGCTAACACAACCAATCTCTTTAATCACCTGAAATACAACCACAAAGTGCAATACGACCGGGCAGTAATACAACAAAAAGCAGATGCCCGCTCGACTTCATCCACCACATCATCACAGTCATCGATTCAGGACGCATTGTACAGAGCAACGGCCTACGCGACGAGCTCGCAGAGACACAGAGATATTACAGGTGCCAGTACATTTCACATCGCTAAAGATATGTGCCCAGTTAGCACTGTTAGCAACCAGGGCTTTAAGCAACTTGTCAACACGTTGGACAAGCGTTACGCGATGCCGTCTCGGTATTATTTCAGCAGGTCTGCGCTGCCTGCACTATATGACAAATGCCGTGGGGAAGTTGAGAGAGATGTGGCTTCAGCTGACTACTTTGCTACCACAACAGACCTATGGTCTAGCCCAGGGGTGCCCAACCAGTCGATCGCGAGATGTGTCTAAAAATAGAACAACAATATTCTGTTTTATCGTTAATGTCCTGTAACATAATCTTCCTGTGCCAGAATAATGCACTTGAACGCATCAAAGCTTTGTGATTGGTCGGCGTCACCCCATGTGTCGGGGCGTGGCTGAGGGTCTTCAGTACAGGTGGCAATATTGTCACCTGCCTGCGCTCATCTCTGAAACCAGACCATGTAAACAGCCTGGTGTTTCTTGCAAAAAATCTTTAAGATATGAAATTAGCAGCCCTACCAGCATTTGTCATGGTGGCCAAAACATTTTTATTTGGTCTTAAATTGTAGTTCAACATTTATTTCCTGTTACTTCTGGACCATGACGGTTGGCCAGCCTTCAACGTTTAACTGAGTGGAATAATGAATATGTTTTACCAAAATGTTGGCTATATGTTAAGGAGTGTTCAGTAGGTTGTGACAGTGCACTGCAACATGTTTGATTTAATTTATTTTGGTCTAATTTATTTTTATTTATCATATTAATAATATATGTTTAGTATGGTTTTGGAAGTGCGCTCCAACATATTTGTTGATCTTGTTTATTGGTAAAATATTATTTGTTTTAAAGTTCAATAAATAATCGTGATATCAATTATTGACCCAAATAATCGTGATTATGATTTTTGCCATAATCGCACAGCCCTAGTTACATCATTATTATTGTGCAGCCTCGAGAGCATCTATACAATTCATCAAAGTCGGGATGAATGCAGTGTTTCATGTGAACCTGAATGAGACCTAGAACATCTTAAAGTCAAAATGACTTACAGTATATATAGCAGGTCAAGAGCTGCCTCACAAGATGCATACTTGTGTATTATTTCCATATATACACTTATATACTTACAGTAACATGTCCTGCAAGCGCAGGGCTACATTCAAGCACTGTTTTATTTTATCACAAGGATGTCAATCTCCATCTTGCAAATTTGGACAACTATATGTCTTCACCCATATAATGTCAATATAGGGTTATGATAACATTATAACTACTCATTTTCAATTCATAAATATATGTTTTGGTTAGCTATACATGTTTAAAAATAAATGAGTTGATCAGCCTGGCTACATTTCAGATAACAGGCACTAAGTCAAGTCACTTACAACAAATACAGACACTGGCTGAACCGGACTTACTACTTGCTGACATATCATTAGCATATGGCTCTAGCTGAGAGATGCAATGGACAAGTTAGTCAGAGATACGCTGAGAAGATATCATTCATTCAAAAGGAACACATTTTCCTCTCAGCAGGTTCAGATACATGTTATTATTCTGTAACCCTATCTACACTGCAAAAAAGCTGTTTGTGTAAAATGGGCATAAATCATGTTGCCATTGTTTTATGCATCAAAGTCTTACAAATCCTGTCACCTTCAAGTCAGGAGGGTCTCACTTGTGTGACTTGTGGTAGCATGCGGACATTCCTTTACCTCACTAAAGTCACTCGGATCCAATCAGCCTGTGAACAGCAGGCATCTCAGGAATGTTATGAGCAAACTGAAGTTTCAAGACTCCTACAGGATATACTTTACAGTTTGTTCACTTTCAAAATGTGAGTAAAGATTTACACATACAGCTGTATTGATTTTTAAGTGACAATGAGAAGATGATTTCAGCACATATTCAACATAGTTCTGGTTTGTCTCATCTGGTGCTTAATTTACTTCATTAAATTAACATTATCCAAACTTAACACATCATATAATCCCTTTGTGCACTTGCTTCAGTTTTCACAAGACATGACAGATCCTTCGTTACATGAGTTCAAGGTAAATGAGTGCCTTCCCTCTCTCCTGCCACAGACTAGACTAGCAGCTGTGACCCCTCTCTTTGTTGTTACAGTCAACTGCTGAGACCCGGGCTGCTGATCTGCAGCCAGCTCAGCTGCTTTCCAGACACACTGACTTCTAACTATTTGAATGGATATGCATGTCATTTCTGTCCTGCAAGTATACCGGTATTGATACCAAACTGGTTGCAAAGGTGACCCCAAGAACTGACCGAACCGAGACCATCAGTACCTAGGGTTGTGTTTATTAATGTGCACTACTATAACCACGCCCATGCTGTCTGGTATGCTAGCACGGTATGCACACGTTAGCCAAAGTGTTGCATGTTGACAGGATGTTTATGATAAGTCACTGCACCCTTAATGTCGATTTCACAGCAACAAAGAAACATCTGGAGGCTCCTCCACACCCCGGCGTGCCCGCCCGCGTTTAACCGGTAACAATGGTGACGCAAGCTATGCAGCTAACCAGCCGGTTGCTACACGTTAGCTAGCTATTGAGTACAAGAGTAAACAGCAGGCCACACATTACTTATTAAAAGCACTATACGTCAACTGTGCTGTATCAACAGGTCTGCCAGTTGGGGCCATACCATGACCAGGCCACTCACAGCCACAACTCTCAGCTAATGCAGCACATCTTATAAAACTGTTATCTCTGGTTACCACAGTTATAGCAACCGACAGACACCTCCAGCGGCTTATAAAGAGATAATTCCTCACCCGAAGAGAGACTCTGACTCCTGGTGAACCCGGGATCACCTCCTGAGATCAAATTAGCCGTGTCATGGGTGTGTTTTATCACAAAGAAAAGTGGGGAAGAGGATTAGCTATCTTGTGGTCGCTATTACTCCGACGTCCTGGGAACTGAGGAAAAAGGGAATGCAGGAATGTGACGTTCAGTCCGGCTTGCGGGCAGCGTTGACACGTGCACTCAGTGAGGCATTGTGGGAAACGTAGTTCGATAAGAATTGCATGAGAATTAACATAGGAATTAACTGATTAATAACCGGTTTGACATGTCACACTGCCCCCTCCCTTATGGGAACACAGTTTCGATACAGTACCATGCAGAACGGATCATGGCTTTATAGTTTGTAGTTACTTTGAGATTTAGGTTCTCTCAAGTGCTGTTTACTGTTCTTTTAATGTTTTAGTTTTTTTATCAGTGTTTACATTTCAGTTTTATTTGTATGTGTGTATGCACCAAGACAAATTCCTAGTACTTATGTGTTAACCTACTTGGCAATAAACCGGTTTCTGAATCTGAATCTTAATTTTCTTAAGTTTAAGAATCTAAGAATCTTAAGTTAAGAATTTAAGAATCTTAAGAATCTTAAGTTTTCTCTTATTACTAAAGCCAACAGCCACTATTATCGGTATAATTTGATCAGTAACTTGTGATGAAACTTTCCTTTGCCACTAGCTTCTTTGCAGTGCTTGTAATATGTGTGTTTGTGTGTTAATATATTCCTTTTTGTAGGTCAATTTTGGAATAAGGCCATTTTTTTATGAGTAGATATGGAATTAAGAGTGATCATAGGCTATTACTTCACAGTCGATACGTAATCTGAGCTGTGCATAAAGATTACATTTATCAATTAACAAATTAAATAAACAATAGATTAAATACACACTCATACACATTATGATGTTCAAAAAACAATGTACAGAAAACAAAATGTAACACTAGGTGAATACAATAAAATAAAAATAAAAGATCCAATTGAACTAATAACAAAAAATAGATAGGTACAATAAAATTAAAATAAAAACAAAGAGATAAACTTTGCAGCTACTCTGTCTTTTTTCTTACACCCAATTAATTGCACATGAAATCCATGGTTTGAAGAAACCACCAAACCCAGATGACTGCAGATCACAGTAAAAACCTGCTGAAGAATAATTTCATTGTAACCATGACCCCTTGTGGACGATGAGAGAAAAGCAGTAAAGCCAAAGATGCTCTACTGTTTGTGTGATTCTGTGGATGAGTACATATTATGAATATATTATAATACCACAGGGATTAATCAGGGTCCTTATTCAATATGTTAGACAGCTGGAAGATATCACTAAGACAGATGGACTGACAGATAGACCTGTATATAAACATGACACATAGAAAACAGACAGAATGACACGCAATCCATACAGAAGAACTACAGACAGGCGGAGCTGTCTAAAAGTGGAAAGGTAGACAGTCCCCCTGCTCCAGATGGCTACAGAATATGTTTGCCACCACAGCAGAGGCTAATTAACTATCATGGCGTGATGGAGACTCCAGCAGCACAGCACCCCCACCCGCTTATTCTCCTCCTTCCCAGTCTCCCTTTCCCAGTTCTATATCTATCCTTAGTCGTCCCATAATTACTTTGTTGTCGTCTCCACATCACCCGCAGCACCGCAAGCCATTCATCCCTCCATGTCCACTCCCAAACTGCTGTACGTTTTCTCTCTACATATGCTCCTATCATCTGTTCTAATGCAAGCTCACCTTTAGGTTTATTCTTTTGATATAAGTCTTGTCCTAAAATATGCCCTCACCATTTATGAGCAGAGCAAAACAGAGGTGTATTATGTTTTAAAAGCTTTTACTGCCCATGTCTGTGTCATGCTTATGGCTGTCTGGGTTTTACTTTTACTGAAATTGATATGCCTCACTTCATGATTATTGTTTCAAACTTTTTTCTTGACTTTAGGATAACATCGTCAGTTACTATGGTTAAAAAATAGCTTCCAGGCTAACTCTGGCATTGTAACAGTACAGTTTATAAGTATGCAGTTTCCCTGGTGAACCTACTGATCTGCAGATTTGAGGCGTGTGTGAAGCTTACAGTAGGTGTAAAAGTTGGTAAGAGTACTTTGCACTGTTGCCAAGGAAACCATAATGTTGAACTGCTGTGTAATTTCAGTGTTCTAAAAATGTAAACACTTGTTGAAGCGCTTGCGGTCCTTTGAAAGGGTTTTCACAACAACTTAACCATAATCATAATTTCTTTCTTCAAGGTCTTAACATAGAGGGATTTAAAAATATTAAAGCCTCCCACGAAAGGAACAATGGTTTAAATATTTTCTGTGATAAATAACCCAAAACGTTTAAGATGTGAGCAAGAAAAAGGTTACGAATCTTAAAGTATAATGATCTTAGTCACATTTGTTCACAGGCAGTTTATATGAATTTACATATAAACACAAGTCTTTTTTTAATTGAGTCTTGCTCCATTTTAATGTGGGTTTGACGGATGTGCAGTGAATGCTGTTGAGCAAAAGAAAGAGAAAAGGCTGTTTAGGTTCGCCTTGCATAAAGCTGCTCCTCACCAGAGGATGGTACCAAGGCACCAATTAGCAGTGGAGAGGGCGCATGATGATATTTCCATGTGCTTGTGGCCGGGGCAGCTCCGTCTGTGTGTGTTATAAAAGGCAAAACCATAAACATGGAATTAGACAGTGCAGGACCCGCAGCTCTTAAGGTCACAGACTTTCCCCTCCTGCGGCTTGTGAGAGCAACGGTGTGATATAAACAACACTGGTCTGCAAACTGTTATTACTCCCCTTGCGTTTTTTTATAACAGGGCGGCTGATTATTTGTGCTTGTCAGTATGTGAAGTTCATTAGGCCGACGACCTCGATGCAGCGGCCCCCTGCGGTTCTGCTCTTAGGTCGAAATGGGTGCAAGAGAAGTGTGGGAGAGAGATCAGTGTGAACCAGATAGAGAGAAACTAAGTGGGTGGAAGTGACTGAACATCTCTTTGTGTAAAACACACACAGGCGCACACACACACTAAGCCTCAGACAAATAAACACACAGAGATTGGCCACAGTTCAATTTGTTGAGTAACAAAAACATGATTTCTAACCAGCAGGTGGGGGCAGTAGACAGATCATACTGTTGCACACTGAGCATTATACTGTTCTGTAAGAGCTACTGTAACCTACCTTTACAGGGGGCGGAAAGAAAATCATAAAATACATAATCTAATCTAACACATTTTGTTGTGACCACCAGCCATGTATTTAAGTGGTAAAAAATAATAAAACATTGATATAGATGTGTTCATCATCTGTTTCTTTTCAAATGTGTCCACAAATCTTATCAACAAGCACGTAACTGCATTCTTTATTTGTGATTATTCCTTATTCAACCTTGAAAAGCAATACTCCTCACAAGTCCTTTTAATCTTTGTTAACAGTATGTCATTTTCCTACAGAATAGTACAACATAAGAGGTGCGGGTTACAGTAATAAAGTGTTACATGTATGGCATCAATTAACATTATTTTCACTATTGATTAATAGGCTGGTTATTTTCTTTGTTGTTTTTTGAAATTATAGAAAAAGACGATGGATATACATAAATCCCAGAGCACAAAAAGGACATTGGTAAATGTCTGGTTTAAATTATGTCCATTTTCTGCAGATGTATGTCAAGACATTTAGTAAATTCCCACATATAAACATCCAACAATAAAATGTTAGGCTTTTTTGCTTAAATATAGATTTATATGATCAAAATGATCGGATAATTTTTCTTCATATTGATCAGTTCAATATATGTGGCAGCTCTACATACATGTCATACAAATATTTAAGAACTGTAACCGTTTTATTGTGTCTCTTTCCTTTACAGGCTCATGCTGAAAAGATTTCGCCATAAAAACATTGTTATTCAATATCCATGAAACTTTAGTTTTAAATAACTCGGTAACCAAATAGATAAAACTAATTTGCTCTTTGCTTTGTCCTTCAGCATCCCTCCTCAGGGGCTTGCTCTCAACCCCCTCGTCCTCCCCCCCCCTCCCCTCCTCTCTGCCGCCTCACACTCCCCCTGCTGTTGAACTGCAGTAGAGCGTCTGAGGAGTGCGTTGACAGCTCCGGGCCGAGTGTGTGCCCGCCTGCCTGTATGCTGAGCACCCGTTGAGTAGGTGGGTCTGCTGGAAGGGAGTGGGAGAGGTGGGAAAAGGGCAGATGGAACACAGAAGGAAGTTCACCAGCAACACATCGAGTGTCAGAAAGTAGAGAGGGGACAAAGAGGGAGGGGTTCAGAGGGAGCCGCAGGGACCGTGATAGGTAGAGGAGTCAAAAACGGAGAGAATGAGGGGACAGATATGCAGAGAGAAAGGACCACAGGTGGTAAAGGGATGAGGGAGAGCAAGGGGGTAAAGGATGGAGAGGTGAGAGATGTGTCAGGTACCACAGGGAGAGGTGATGGGCAGCGGGGGTGGAGGGAGGGTGGAGGAGTTGGAGTTTGGGGGGTGATAATGATGTCAGGTGCAGGAGGGTACTGGGTGGGTGGGTGGTGGAAGGATGGGAGAGAGGGGCATACTTTTGTGACCTTCAACAATAGTTTGAGGGTGGAAACTTGGCAGAAATATATTATTATAATATAATATATATTTGTAGTGGTCCTTATCCTATGTCATGTGGTTGGAGGAACAGCCCAAAACTCCAACAGTTTTGACAAAATATTTTTTTTTTTAAAGGGGCAAACTGAACTTTGGTATACATTTGACTTTGAACCGAACAGTTCAAGTCCTCCTCCCTGAAATCATACCAAATGTTAAGGAATTTACCTTTGAAACAAAAAGAAAATCATCCTCCTGGTTAATGCCACAGTCTTCAAATATTGTGCCGAGCAGAGGAAGGATTTATAGCTTATTTCACAGAAAAGCTGCAACTGAAAACAGCCGCCTTTAGGAAGAACTTGTGAGTTTTGTCTTGAGTTGATGCAAGAGTTTCAAATGTTTTCTTTTCCTCATTGAAAGTAAACCAATGTAATATTAATGGAAGCATATTGAAAAACCCTTTAATAAAAAAGCATGGCTACCCTTCAGGCCATCAAAACTGATACTTGAAACTGTTTTTATTGTGTGCTCTTCAGTTGATTTATGTTTACATGAGTA